ATAGACCTGTCTCTAGACGGGCTACTGTATCCCAAAAGCAGCGATGACGACGACGACGACGAGGAAGAAGAGGAGGAGGAAGACGAGCAACTGCAGCACAAATCTTTCCTTCTGGACCCCGGAGAGGGCGAGGAAGGGGAAAGGAAGGGTGGCCGCGCCCTGGGCCAGGAGAGCTGCGGGTCCCCGGCGGACAAGGATGCCCTGGACCGCGTCCTGGACACGTTCCTGGCCCCCTCCTCCGCCCAGGCCAGTGTGGACAACCCGACTGCGGCGTGGGCGTTCTTCGGCCCGGAGATCCCCGAGTTCCCCGGCGGGCTGATGAGCCGCCACCCCGACGGCAAGGCCGGGGACGCGCCGCCCGACGCCGCCTCCCCCCTGCCGGCCCTTCCTCCCACGGCCGCCTCCGCGCATTCCTGCTCCCACTGGAAGGCGCCTCAAGATGCGGGCGGCGGGGCTGCCTTCGCAATCTCGGAGGGCAGCGCGCCAGCCGCCGCCGCCGCCGCCTCGGCCCTGCCGAAGGGCGAGCACGGCTTCGCGCCGCGGGGCTCGACGGAGCAGGAATTGGACGCCGCCGCCGCCTGCGCCTCCTCCTCCAGCAGCGGCGGCAGACTCCCGCCGGCGAGCGCGGGGCGCGCGTCCGCGGCCGGCGCGCTGAGCTGCCCGGAGTTCCTCAACGTGCCCATCCTGCCGCTCAACGCGACGTACCTGGCCGTCAGGACGCGGCAGCTGCTGGACGTGAACGAGCCGCAGGACGCGAGAGCCGGCGCCGGGGCGCCGGGCACGGGCTCCCCCTCCGCTTGCACCATGCAGGAGTTCTCCAACTACATGTATTCGCCCCGAGACGGGCAGCCGCCGCCGCCGCCTTACCTCGTGGGCTCCGGCGGGGACTTCCAGCCCGGCTTCAGGATCAAGGAGGAGAGCCTCATCGCGGCCTCGGCCAAGAACAGCGCTTTCGCGGGCGCCAAAACGGCGTCGGCCGCCGCAGCGGCGGCCCCTTGCACGGACGGCGTGCCGCAAAGCGCCGCGCCTCCGCAGCCCAAGAGCGGCGGCGGCGGCGGCTGCCCGGAGGCTGCCCGCTCCTCGTCCTCCTCGCTGGAGTGCATCCTCTACAAGACGGAGCCGGCGGCGGCGGCGGCGGTGGCGGCCGCTGGCCCCTACGGACCAGCGCCTTGCAAAGCCTCCCCGAGCTGCCTCGTGCCGAGGGACAACCTCAGCTTGCCCTCCACGTCCACGGCGCCGCCGCCGCCGCCGCCGCCGCCGCCGCAGGGCTTCTACCAGCCGCTGGCCTTTCACAGCCCGCAGCAGCTTGCTGGCCTCAGAGACGGGCTACCGCAGTTCTACTCGCCCTATCTGAGCTACATAAGGTAGGAGAGGAGGGGTTATTCTTCACAGCAAGCTTTTGTTCTCTTTATACCCCCTCTTTAAAAAAAAAGTATTGTGGAATTAAGTTTGAAGTTGGCAAATTATTTCCGCCGGTTAATTAGAGGAGTGGTGGATTCAGCCGGCAGTGCCTGGGAATAAGTTAATGGAAGTGACTTCCTAAAAGTTACTTCCGAATAGAAAATCCGTGCTCTAAATACGTGACGGGGGAAAGACTGGGGGAATGAATGAAATGCACAAGCCCCCTGCCTTAACTCAGACCTAATGTTAACAATCTTCCATCTCTCTTTGGATTGCAAGATCCCCCTGAAGTTGTCTTTCCCAACTAATTTTTGCATTTAGCAATATAGCTGGTTATTACATGGAGACAGCTGCTTTTCTGCAGCTGAAACAAAGGACCTTCGAGGTAGCTGAGATCCTTTTACCGACTCGGAAGGCCACCTTAACCAACCATTTAAAGCCTGTAGCCTTACAAGGTATGGGCAGCCTTATTTATTCACCCCTTCAATGTTGCAGATTTTTTTCCTGTCTGCTCATCTTCTGCCAAAGGCAGGCACAGAATGGATCGCTATAAAGGTGGTTTCTAGATCTCAGAGTATAATAGCAGGGATCTCTTTGCTTCCTTTTAGTTCTTTCTGCCTGCAGTCCTTAAAAAATGCTTCTGAGGGATTGAACAAGTGCCATTGAACATGGAGGAACTTACTTCTGAGTAGACAAATGTAGGCTTGTGTTGTTAATGATTAAACACCAATTTGGAGCACAGTTCATTAATAGCTACATCTAATGGCCATTATAGCTACTTCAGTCAGTTGCAATCTCTCACCTTATGGGGAAGATGCAAAGAAGTCCTCTGTATATTAACTCAGAAGTAAATACTATTATTCTTAGTGGGGCTTACTGTTAGTTAAGGCTGTGTAAAGTTGCAGCCTAAGTTTGTTTGTTTGTTTATATATATATATACATATATAGATAGATAGATAGATAGATATAGATAGATATAGATATATTACAGCTTCTACAATAAGAGTAATCCATAAAAGTTAGGATGAGGTAACTGTATAGATATGTGTTTACAAACATGTTCAAGCTGTTTCTTTTCACATAATAAAATTGTACTAAATGTAACCCCCAAGAATGGTTCCTAGAATACTATCTATAATTCATTATTATGACATTTTCCAGCATCCACAATACTTTAAAATCCTTATGTCATCTGCACCTACAATAACGTCTATTAAATTTGCTTACATGTGATAATAGAATATTACAGCACATAATTCCAGCCTCCAAACAAAGATGGATGATAATTCCATTCCTTAACTATTCCTTAACTATTGAACAGAAAAGTAGCACACACAAATACAGCACACACAGGTAGAACTAGTGTACAGGGTAACAAGAACACCTCATTCCTTGCCTTGTAAACAGGATTATAGGATTTTAGAATGAACTATAACCTTTCAAAATTCAAAGAGAGCTGGAAGGATGCACGCAGCCCTTGACTTTTCAATACTCAAACCCCAATCTGAAGAGCTAAATGTTATTCTGTTCCAAGTTAGATGCTATTTCATTGAAACTGGTATGTCTGCTCCCCCCTCCCCCCAAACTAAAATCTGGATTCTTCAACAAAGTGATATGCTACTGATGAGAGAAGGCTAGTGCAAAACTTTGCTTCTATGAAGCTGGAAGAACGAGGGTGGTGAGCATTTTGGGGCAGTTGTACCTTCTGCCGCTCTCTGGTTTGTTATAGCAAGGTCCTCCAGCTGGAAAGACCCAATCAATAAGCTGGTTTACCTGCTGTGATAAAACATGGTTTAGCATGATGGGGGCAAGCCATGGTCAATCTTGGGCTCATGTGATCCCCCTTCTGCTCTCTCCCAGGCTCTGGTGCAGTTCAGTGGGGAGAGCAGAAGCTCTTGTTTCAATTTTCCATTAAATTCCACTTGTCAGCCGTGGTCAGTCTTAACAGTGAGGTGTTTGAAAAGAGCCAACTCGAAACAGGGGGTATGAAACTGGCTCCTTGCAGTCTTTTCCCATCATGATGAACTCTGGATCGGAAACTCTTTCGGTCTGAAGGCCGAATTCCATTTCAGAGAAACTTTCCAATAAAGATGGGGCCAAGAGGAAGAAGTCTAGGAGGCTCAAATTAGAAAAGATGTACACAATGTCAGTATAGGTTAATTTAATGCTTTTAATGCAACAAATCATCCACAAAAAGAAACATGTCAACCTTTTAGTATAGGGAAAAAGTGTACAAAAGTTGGAAGTCCACCAAACAATCCATGGTTGGGTAAAAGAGAAAGGAAGTGGGAAATTCCCAACTGGGATATTGAAGAGGATGAGGGTAGAACTCCAGGCAGACTACATTTATTTGTTTGTTTGTTTGTTTGTTTAAAACTTTTGGATACCATCCACTACTAAAAGGTCTTGGGATGGTCTTACAATAAAACAAAGTGGAGCACAGCATCACATTTTGGAATACATTTTCCAAACGTCTTTTATTAATCTATTTATTAATCTGTTAATCCATTCCAGTTTCACGCTTGGATTGGGTTATGCAGAGAACCCATCCATGGAAGTATCAGTTAGCTAATCCATGTGGGCAGGTCATTGGCAAGCAGTAGGACTGTGAAATTCAGCCACAGATATTTTTGAGCCATGCTTAGAGATTACAGAATATTGATTGGAAAAGTGAAATTGTCGGCTTCAACTCTTTAGCCCATAGTTGTGGCAGCTGTTGGCTGGCTGGTTGAAAACCTTGAATAGAAGCATTCCTGCCAAGATTTGTTGCAGATGCTGCTTGTTTCTGTACAGTTGATACTGTCACGTCCTGTGTTGGTATGAATGCACAGAAGGGAAAAACAAAACATTGCGGTGTCTGTTCATGTGCCTTCAAATGCATTAAAACGATTCTGGTCTGGGTTTTATCTAGGATCCTCTTCCCTAACCACTTATTCTAGCATTTTAAAAACAGCAAGGCTTCATTCAGAGATCCATAATAGGTAGCATCCTGTGAAGCAAATAGTCCATGAGGGAGAAATTGGCAGCACAGAGCTCCTCCTCACAACACACACATTAGGGGCAAAAGCTTCCCAGATGCAGATCTATGAACTGAGTTCTAATCTAGAACTTCTCCTGCCAGGTAAATTGTTTCTACAGATTCTTTTATAGAAAATTGCCATGATCAAGCATCCTTGTGCAGTCTAATGTTGTAAGGGGCTGACATGTCCATTGCAACAACATGGACAGAATTCTGTATTGTGCACAAAAGTAGGATCACTGACCATTGTTTGCAGATGGGCTAGTTTTGTGCCGCAGCTGGATCTCTTGTCCACCCACCATAAATTGCTGGTTTATGATTTTGCCATATTGATCTCTTGCATGTCAAAACTAGTCATCCGTTAGAACTGTGCTTAGCAAATTGCATGTATTTTCTGCATATACCAAACACAAGCTGCAGAAGGCAAAGGCTTTTCCAGGCGCTTTAGTAGAATTCTAGGGCCAGGACTGATGCAGTGATAGAATTGTTCCTTTAAATTATGGTCTTTCACCTCCTCGCACCTTTTGGGTGATTTTTCTCCCAATTTGGGGCTTTCCTCTACTTCTTACGTGATGGAAGTGGGGTGGCCTTTTCACCCTTGTGAAAAGACAGATTTGCTGATGCTTCATCAGCGCCAGCTCGTGCGCATGCCTGATACGCCTTCCTTTCACAGTCGTGCTGGGGGAGCACAGCTTCACGGCTGGTAAAGTTCACAGGTTTTTCTGACATTTCTATTTGGGAGGGTTAATTTTCCTTCATAAAGTTTTGTGTGCCATTTCTTCTGTCATGGCAGGAAGCCTTCTGTGTTGATGCTTCACGTCTTGCCTGCTTTCTTCAGGTCTGATACAGAAGCTGGCCAGAGCGCTCAATATGGCTTTGAATCTTTGCCCCAGAAGATTTGCCTTATCTGTGGCGATGAAGCTTCTGGCTGTCACTATGGAGTCCTCACCTGTGGAAGCTGCAAAGTCTTCTTCAAGAGAGCCATGGAAGGTACAGCACTGTAGCTTTTCTTGTCTAATATTCACCAGATTGCTTTAAGTCTTTAATGTTATGTACAATGGCTTGTTAGCTCGGAGTTGAGGGGTGTTTGAGAAAATATATGCCAACATTTAATTTACAGAACTGGATTGCTTTCTTTGTAACAATCAAATATGAAAGCATCTTGTTCGGTTGCTTCCAGGGTGCTTTCCTTTAGAAAATGCTGATGAAGAACCAACTGTGTATATATAGCATGTGGGTTACAGCAGTTCTTAATGATTAATCGGTTAGATCAACTGATGAGAAAACTCTGACTTGATTAAAGAGGCGCACCCTATTAATCAGACCAGAGAGTTTTGACATTTATTTTTAGTGCACTTTCCTATGAAGTCTGCAGATGGTTAGCACCATTTCAGAAGAGGTTTCCCCGTTTATTCACAGGGCGTCTGCCTCTTCTAACATGGCGTTTGTGACCTTGCATATGCAGGGGTCATCTGAAAACTTGGAAGGTATGCCTCTGATTTCAGAAATAAGCTTTATGTTCAGATGCAAATATATGCAAATTTGATTTGAATACAAGTTTGGTCCAAGTACAAACTTGATTTGAAAACTTATGTTTGTGTTCCTAAACAAATACCTAGCTCATATGAGCTGCACTGGTTTCCTCAAAGCTGTATATCAAAATATACACAGCGCGGTTACCTTCCTGAATTTTTTTTAATCTTTAGATCTAAATGAAACGTTAGAAATGGTTTTTTAACAACAGAAGCTCCAGTGGTTGAAATGTTTGCTGGGGAAGAAGGTTAGTGAGTTTGACTTCAGAGTAAATGTGTACAATAACATGCAAAAAGAAGAGGAAGCTTGAACTGCAATCTCCAAAAACACACACTGTATTTTTTTTGTGGTTCTCCAAGACTCTTTTGTTGCTCTTACATCAACCTTTCACTTTGTAAATGGTTGTGACATGGGATTGGCATTTTACAGTCATTTTGTTGACTGCTTTGACATGCTGTCTTCAGTCAGGCTTTTGTGCATTATGTCTGACTATCGATCATTGGGCTCACATACTCTCACTGTCTTTTTCCCACACGACCTAGAAGAGGAGTGTGAATGCATTCAGTGTCATTTAGTTAATCACAGCTACTTGTGACATCTGAACTGGGAACTGCAGTTTACGTTAACTATGGATATTTTAAACAAGCCATTTTCAGAAATTGTGCTCTAAGGCTAGCTAGTTTAAAATAAAACATAGTTAGCATGAAAGAGAGCTTATTCCTGCAGATGCTATGACAAACTGCAGATGGAAAGTGTCAGACCTCATCTTGACTGTGTGGATGGGGAATCCTGGGAGCTGGAGACTTGCTTTGGTTCACCCCTGACTTTGCATATTATTGTAAACTACCGTTCAGCAATGTCTTCTGTGGTCTGGGACCCTCCAGTTGTGCTAGATTGCATCTCTGTCACCCCATCCAGCATAGTCATTAATCTTGCTGCTTAGGATTGGTGAGATGGAGGGGTGCAGGTTGGAAAGCTGTGCTCAGCACATGATGGGAAAATCATCTGTATAGATGCTTTGTGCTTTACATCTTTTTAGGGCTGACTGTTTGTCTCAAGGCTTGGTTCTGCTCTCTTGCATGACGTCACTGCAAGTTACACTGGAGTAAATTTTAGATTATTGTCTTAAAATAGAGATGTGGGACTTTGGCCTCTGGGGCTTTGTCACATTCCTCCAGGGGGCAGGGTTGCCTCCTGCAAGGAGCACCCCTGGAGGCAGCTCTGCTGGTGTCCGCAAGTTCAGGTAACGGCTCGGACATGAACAGCAGTGGCTCAGCCAGCACTGGAAGGAACCGGGGAAAGGAATCAGTGGCAAGGTGATCCCTCACCTTCTCAGAATGGAACCTAAGTTAAGCAGCAACAACAAACAGTAGCAACAGCTTAAATAGGATTTCATTGTGAGAACAACCAACCGAAACTATAATGTTGGGAGAGAGAGAGAGATGGCTGCTTTTGGCGCTCCTTCTCAAGGTCTGCTGGCTGGACTTCAGTGGAATCAGAATCAGAATGTGAAGCAGGACTGGGAGGAGCCTCGGGGTGTGGGCCAAGCTGACACTCTGAGATGAGGGAAGCAGAGATGCTTATCTCAGGGCTAGACTCACCAGGTGGGCAGGCAGCCTGTGGGAATGGGCAAGTTGTACAGTTGGTGGGAGGAGACTTGGAGCAGGGGAGTTTCTCAGACACAGATGAGGCAGCCATGGCCCCATGACGTGACCTCAGCAGAAGAAAGTGGCCCAATTAGAGGACTCTTGGCCCCATGACGTGACCTCAGCAGAAGAAAGTGGCCCAATTAGAGGACTGGCATGCAGAGAGAAGATATGCTCATTTTCAGAAGGCCCCTCCTGAAGGGGTCTAGGCATGCCAATAAGGAGAGTTCCTGGAGCTGAATACTAGATTGGCTTCAAGAAACTGGGAGCCAGTGTGGTGTAGTGGCTAAGAGCCTGGGACTGGGACTCAGACGATCTGGGTTCTAGTCCCCGCTCAGCCATGGAGCCAACTGGGTGACTTTGGGCCAGTCACAGACTCTCAGCCCAGCCTACCTCACAGGGTGGTTGCTGTGGGGATAAGATGGAGGAGGAGAATGATGTAAGCTGCCTTGAGCCCTTTGTAGGAAAAAGGCAGGATATAAATCGAAAAATAAATAAATAAAATAAATAAACTGCTTTGTGCATGCACAGAGATTCAGTCTGGGTGTTTGTGCTTTTGGAGGCAATGAAAATGTTTTGCAAGGAAAACAGTCTGTGGCGTTTGAATGTGTGAAGGAGGAACCTCAGCTCCCATGATATAGTTAATAGGTGACCTCCATTTGTGGGTCTAGCTCACCTTAATATTCACAATACAGCAACAAGTCAGAGCACAAGTGCAGCAAATATATTGCAAAATATTGCTTGATCATTCCGCTAATTCATTTTAAATGGCCCCAAGTTCCAGCACTACTTCAACACTAGCCCGGTTCCTGTGTAACAACGATCCATGGTTTGTTATGTGCATGAAGTGGCATGGGTTTTTGGACCCTGTTTTCATATTCGAGAAGATATTTAAAGCTGCCATTCCTATTTAGGAACAAACAAAGGTTTGTTACTATGTCCAAATTGAACAAATGATAGTTTGTTTAAACCATAGTTCATTATCAAGCCAGGTTATTGAACCTTAATTTGATCCTGGTTTGATACCCTGTTGATAAATGGTGGTGTTTGTTTGAACAAACCAGATTTGCTTGGTTGTGATTTAACAAAAAACTGTGGTTTGTTCTTAACCAATAAATTAGTAGTTTTGTGAACCAAACAATGGAAATCTCAAAATAAGGCATACATGACCCAGTCAGTCTAACCATAACTAAAGTTTACTGATTTAAAAGATAAGCATGTGCTCTTCACTTTCACTCAGTTGTACCTATAATGTACATTTGTGAGAGTTTGGATGCATTCAGATAACTCAACAATGGTGGCTTTTTACCATTGATAGTCTGTTGTATTGTCTGAATCCAGTTCTGGTGTTTCACCATGGTAAGTTTGATTTTCAGAAACCACAATAAGAAACAACAGTGTGTTCTATGGTTTCTCTGTACCACCATGGCTTGCTGTGTTCTCTGAACTCAAGAACATGGTTTCCATGGTGCTGGTGTGCAACTACCACAGAGTTGCCACAGAGTGGCAACTGCAGGAGTCATTCTAGCCATCCAACCTCTATGTACAAACCAACAAGGAGGAAGCAGAAAACACAGGCAGGGAATGATGCACCTTGGGATTGAATTTCAGGTGTGGTGGTTGATGGGATACATGCCAACAGGAGGAGGACAGATCAGGCAGTATGGAAACCATGATAGCATAGAAACCACTTGATTGTCTGCTGAGTAGGTCATGTTAAAATCCCCTGCAAAACTCTGGCAACCGTGCAGGGCTGCTTGACATGCTGTGTAAACCCATCTACAATTTCTTTCCTAGCAACTATCACACCAAATTGCCCAAACTTTGTTTTAAACAGAAACAAAAACTATGGATGTGTGTGGGGTGAAGTTTCTTCCATAAAAAGATGGACAAAGTACCTACTACAACTCAGAACTGTGCCTATTTTAGTGTGGTCTGCAGTCCTGCATAGAATGGCTGTGTGTAAATCCCATTGAAACAAATAGATTTAAGCAGCTTAATTGTGTGTAGGACTTCAGGTTGGCAAAGATGCACAGAACCAAAGGCAGGGACAATTTGGCTGCCAGGAATTTAATTAAGGACATGATGAGCTAAGTGACCAGGGTTGGGCTAACATATGGCTATGCAATTCATGTGTAAAGTGATTTCCTGGGTACTACCTGTCAAGAATGCTCATTCTAGTGTAAGACAGTTAGGTCGCTAAGTCATAAATGTATTTTCTGATTAGGTTATGAGTAAATTAGGTTGTTACAAGACAGCTACTGTAGGTGTTAAGGATGCAACCTTTGAAGCTCACTGCTTAAATTAATACATCACTCCTAGTTAATGTGAAAGTTAAACCATGATGGTCTATATCAGTGGTGAACAAAAGCAAATTTTGAAGAGGTAGGAGTACATTTAAATAGTATTTTGATATCAACCCTTCTTATCTCCAAAAGCTGTGGATGAGTAATGCCAAGCGAAGCAAATAGGTGAGCAATGTGCAAAAAGGGAGAGCAAATCATAAAATGGTACCTCACCCCATACAGCAGCAACAGCAATAATACTGATGGTGATGGTGATGGTGATGGTGATGATTATGACAATGACGGCTTCCCATAAAGTGCAGAGTATTCCTTCTTTACGGTACTCCATTCCATTGTTTCTCCCCTGTGGCTTTCAAATTTTCTCCATGAGAATCAGCCAGCCTCCCACATTCACTGAGCACACTTAGTCCTCCTTGGGGTTCTTTTTGGTAGGAAGGAAGAAAAAAATATTTCTGCAAAAGTGAGCGTTTCCCCAAGCCAGGCCTGAATGAACGTCCTATCTTGG